ACCTATTATACGTTTAGTCCTTATTTACACTTTCAGTTTCTCACACCAGAGAAACTATTCGGTATTTATTCATGTGTGTCCTGTTTATTTCACTTAAGGAGCATGATCTTTTCTTAAGTTCACTTTTAAAATCCAAGAATTAGTATATATTTTTTTGAAAGAGAAATCTTTTATTAATTCTTGAGACATCAGAAATTATATACCAATGCCATTCACTTTTTAAATATTCCTTATGTTATACATAGCATATGCCATATTACCAAATATAGTGGATCCTCAAGTTACGACTGGAGTGACATTCGAACAACTTAGGCTAATTGGGTTAATGGAAGATTCATCTGCCTCTTGTTATCTATAGCATGTACCCAGGTAAACATCCAGATCTCAGCTGTATAGACTTATAACCAGCCCTCCCTCAGGAACCGATCAAGTTCGTAAGTCAAAGGTCCACTGTATAATTTACATAAAAATTCTAATATACTTTGTTTTTTTCACATTCCCTAATTTTCTGCTTCTGTACTTTCCATTTGAAATATATTTCCTTTATTTAATAAAAATTAAAAACTTTTACATTTACTTCTAACCTTTGGATTCTCTGGAATACTTTCAAAATTAATAATTTCTCAATAATGTAATATGACTAAAAATATCCAGTAAGAAACCCCCTATAATTACAAAAGGGGGAAATAAGGACTAAAAGAAAGCTATTGACTTACGAATTCTTCACAAATTTTATGATTCTCTATGACAGATGAAGAAACTTCTTAAAATGTAAAGAACTATAAATAAAACTTTTATTTTAAATGTGATTCAAACTAAAGAATTACACATAATTTATACTTTATGACAATCAACATAAATATATTTATAACTCAGACAAATCACTTTGTAAAGAAAACCCCTCTGCTTTATTTTATCCTAAGTTTTCCTGTGGAGTATGAGCAAAGAATTTAAAGTTATGCTGTGCCACTAAAGACTAACAGCAATGCTAGGGCAGTTTAAATAGGATGTACCTACATAACGTAAATATTAGGGTTATTTTCTTTGGAAAGTCATCTTGCAAACAAAAAGAAGCAGCCCAAATCCGCATACTGTAATAGCTGTGCTCTTCAAAATTCTACTCTTCCATGTAGATATTTCTTCCATTAATGGTATATGAGTTGGATCATTTTTTCGTTCATTTTGCAACTAATATTTAGAATAGAAAAAATTAGTGTATGTACACTGAACATAAAAACATCTTTGATTTTAAAAAATCCATATTAATTCAGTTGATTTAGATGTAGGCAACTCAAGATTCTTATGGAAGATTTAAAGTGAACAAGACAGTCTTTATTTATTTTTTAACGAGCAACTTAGTATTAAAAATTATCAGTTTTACATTAAAAAATGAAAGTCTTTTTTACCAGCAACTCAGTATGGTAAATTATTAGTTTTACATTAACAAACGCTATCATAGGTTATCAAATTTTAAAATGCTATTTTTATGTCATGAGATAAAGTTCCTTTAATGTTAGCTTAAATTTCTATTTTACTTAAGAAATTATAATTGATATTTATTATATCAATTAATGTTTTATAAAACATTAGTGAACTATTCTTATGGCAAACCCACTACCTACAAAATTCAGTAAAAACTGGAAGATCAGATACTAATACTAGAAGTTGAATACTTTATTTAAATATAATAGTGAGAACAAATATCAACAAGAACTTCTCGGTTCTTTTGGTACTTCTCCCCATACACTTATTTGTTGATAACTGATCTGTTTCTTTTAAAAAAAAACCCTTCTTTTACTATTGGTGAACTCTGAAATGTCACAAGCTTAGCAGCATAATGGCATATTCACAAACTTGGAAGCCTTCATAATTCTCTAAAATCAAAT